CTAGGACCTCTTATACTTTCCTGGATTAAACTTAAACCCATTATCCAAAGTGAGGTACCACAAGATCTGAACAATGGGTTCCACTTGTACTCGCCATCAAATTGGTACTAACTGATGAACACTAGGGTGCTCATATCGCAGTAATACTCTCCAGGGATTAGGGGGTTGGGGAGATAAACCGACAACTAAAAGACACGGGAGCATTGTAGGGGGGAAGGGCATGCCTCTAACCCTCGCTTGGGTGAGGCAAAGACATAAAGTGTAACCATAATGTTTGTACCCTCATAATACCCTGAAATAAAAAAAAATTCTCTATTTCAAATGAAGTGAAAGGAAAGATTGAAAATCAGATTTTATCTGTGCTGATGCACACACATACAGGCACACACACACACAGATACAATCCCAAGGCTTTGCAAATTACCTTACTCCTCTCTGGCTGAAATACAACTTTTTCTGAAAGCTTAGAGACCTGTAATATTGAAAGGAGCTGGGGATAGAAGCGCCTAACTCAACAGGTTTCCTGTTGTTCCATACCCTACCATTTATTCGGAACACTTTTGATTCAAGTCATTCTTATCTAGAGTCTAGAGATGTGTATTTGGGATATCTTTACATGTAAAATTTGTTGATCACTAAATTACAACATTTTCATGTTAGAGATAGACACTCTACCAAAAGAAAAGGACAACCTTTCTTATAATTTAACTTCTTAACCTGTAATATGACAGACTAGGGTTAAGTTATGGTCAAATTTTAAAATTTATGAAAACATACTTCTCTTGATGGCTGTAAAAAGCATTATCCCAGAATCCACAAAGAGTGGCTTGCCCAAATGAATTTGGAGGATGATTGGAAATTATGGAGGCTAACTTACTAGGGAAGGAAGTTTTTAAAAAATCATTAAAATGAGAAATGAAAAGACTTCATTTATCAATTCTTTGTTGGCTTGCTTAACTTGCATTTATATTTGAAATAAAAATTACTCATTTTATTTTATTGGATACACAAATCCATCTTACATTTAGTGTTCATTTGTATTAGTTTTTCATCTCCTGTAACGTGGCTATATTGCATTTTTCACATTTGTTCTATATGGTGCATGAATTCACTCACAGTCTCTCTCTCTTTAGTTCCTTTCTACTGTTTCAACACAGGATTCTTTCACCTATTCGTTCCATATGAGTACTTTTCACGTCCAAATTGTTCACTCCTTTTCTGTCTCTGTGCTTTAGTGTTCACAGCCTTTGAAGACATATGTGACTCTGCTGTACAAACTTAGATCATTAGATTTTAAAAATGTTTTCTGTTTCCTTCCAAAATAATATACACTTTGGTTTAAGGGTGTAAATAAAGGCAATGGATGTGAATTGCCACACGTGAAATTCCATTATTTATCCAGGGAGGCTGTAATGTTCAACTCAGGTTTAAGGTAAAAGGGAAGTGTTTGGATTTCACGTGTGCTGAATTTATTTTTTTATGTTAGGGATATTTGTTGGTCAGATATTTCTTAAAATTTCAAAATTACATTTACCTCTTAAGAAAGACAGATTGTTTTATGTTTTAATAGTATTTTAAAGTGGTTTTGAATTCTTTAGCCTCATCGTGTGATCCCACATTTATCCTGGATTGTGCTCCCTGCAATGTGATCTGCTCCATCATTTTCCAGAGTCGTTTTGATTACAAAGATCAGAATTTTCTTATGTTGATGGAGAGGTTCAATAAAAACGTCAAAATTCTAAGCTCCCCATGGATGCGGGTGAGTCTAGGATTTCTTCTTCCTGAGAAATAACTTATGCTCTTTTCTCTGACAAATCCAAAATTCTATATGGACCAAGCTGTCAAGTGCATGTTTGAATACTGCTGTCCTTCCCAGAGTTTTATGAAGTGACCATCTGGGATAGACGGCTGAGCCTTTTGTTTTACACACAGGAAGTGAATGCCCAAATGTAGCGCTGAATTTCAAGCCCATTAGCTTCATGACCAGTGGCTTTTCCATTCACCCACAAAGCCCCACTTCTATAAGGTACTGGGTGACAGCCCAAAATATGCCTGTATTATTGGATGCACATCCAGGCCCTTTTTGAAGACTTCCATTACCCGCATGACTGGTCCTCAACACTTAGAGACTTCTTCATAGTATTACTTGGCAAAAGTATCCTAATTTAAGAAGAGAATATCTCCTGCAAAGACTGCAACTATTTGGGACCATAGAATCTGTCAGGAAACACTGCCTAATGCAGGGGTGTTTGATGCCTCAGATGGGAGCCTAGCTGACAATGTAACTGGGTTAAGAATGACAAAATGCATGGTTTTATTGTGTATGAACCAGAAACAAGCATCACAATGTTACCCTGTCCTGAATTGGCACAATGTACACTCTGCCTAAAGCATAATTGTTTGGTCTTACAGAAGTTATTGAACTACTCTGATGTACTCTTGGCTTTCAAGATAGTTTTGAGAAACACCCCCCTTCTAAAATGCTGATTCTGTTTCTGAGGCTGCTTTAAAGAAAGAAAAACAGCAAGGACCAGTTTTTTGGTCTAAATCAGCTTGCCCAAACTCCCTTAACTTCTGCTGTCATCTACAAAATGTGAATGCTAATAATGCATGCCCTGTTATCTTACAAAGTTGTAGGGAAGAATTGGTGTGAAAATTGAGAGAATTGATGGAAAAGTGTTTTATGTAATAAAGATGATATATGAGTCTAGGAAATGATTAATATATTTGATTCTCAGGTCAGAATTTTCTCCTTCAAATCTTTTTATAAGCATAGAGGATCACTATATATGAACAAAAAAAATTTCTTTGTCAATATGGACACCATGTTTTATGCATAGTTATATCTATAATTTCTTAGCGTGGTTTGGTATATGGTATATATGTTTTTGTTACATATTTTTTATTAAATAAATTACTGTGCTCTATTTTAGCTTTGCAGTAATTTCCCTGTTCTCCTTCATTATCTCCCTGGAATTCATAAGAAATTATTTGAAAACATTGCTCTTATAAAAAGTTATATTTTGGATAAAATAAAAGAACACCAAGAATCACTGGATGTTAATAATCCTCGGGACTTTATTGATTGTTTTCTGATCAAAATGGAGCAGGTAAAATGTTAGCAACAGTTTAGTTATTTGATTGTTTGTTCATTGAGTAGTTCTTTAATGTACTTGGGTTTAAATGGTCAGGCCTCAATTCTTGGCCAGCATATAAAATACATATTGTATTTATGAATCTGCACTAAGCTTCATAGAATATGTACAATTAAATTGTCTCATAGGTAAAATGCATTGACTTCTTTAAATAAAAATAATCTACCTGAAGAGATAGAATGTACTTCTTATAAGAAATGGAAATAATTGCAAAGTAGTTAGAAAATATGAAAGATGATGCCATTAGATGAAGATGGGCAGTATCACTGCATACAGTGTATGGAAGAACGGAAAAGAATAGCTCAACCTAGGTGGGCTTCCTCCATGTCCTACAGATTGAAATAGACCTGAAAATATTTGCAGTGAGGTATAGGAGCAGGGTTTTCAGATGGGTTGAGTGGTTTATGTCGAGGTGTAAAAGTGAGTGGTGGGAAAATAGGTAGATGGACGAGGGAAGGTTAATTGAATGTAACCTAAAATGAATTTGCACAGATAAGGACTTGGAGGCAGCTGTCTATCAGGTAACCTTTTAACATGAATCCTGTTATCACTGTACTATTTATTGAGAGGCCATTTTTTCTCTATTGAATTGTCTTGGCATCTTTGTTAAAAACCAATAGACTACAAATGTGAGGGTTTATTCCTGGGCTCTCAATTCTACTCCATTGATCTATATGTCTGTCCTTATGCCAGTTGTGCATATCTTGAAGTCTTAATTGCTGTAGCTTTTCATTAAGTTTTCATATCGCGAAGTATGAGTTCTCCAAGTTTGTTGTTCTTTTTCCAGACTATTTTGGCTGTTCTGAATCCCTTGCATCTCTGTATGAGTTTTAGGATAAGCTGGTCAATTTCTTCAAAGAAGCCAGTGTGTATTTTGACAGGGGGCGCATTAAATCTGTAGAGTAATTCAGGAAGTTCCGACATTTTAAAATTAAGGCAAAATTCATGTAACATGCAATTAGCCTATTTAAAGTATACATGTTAGTGGCATTTATTGTATTGACAATGTTGTGCAACCACCAGCTGTCTCTAGTTTCAAAATCTTTTCATCATCCCAGAAAGCATACCAAATGCATTCATGATCACTCCCCATTCCCCACCCAATAATGTAGTAACCTTTAATCTGCTTTCTGCCTCTATGGATTTGCCTATCATGGATATGGCACGTAAAAGGACTCAGAGTGTATGTGACTGTTCGTTTCTGGCTTATTTCACTTAACATAGTGATTTGGAGGCTTACCTCCATTGTAGAATGCATCATTATGTTATTCTTTTTCGTGGCTGAATAATTTCCATTTTTCATGCACTCATGCAACAATTTAAGCTTCATCAGTTTATGGGCATTAGTGTTATTTATATTATAAATAATGCAGCTGTGAACATTTGAGTACATGTTTCTTCATGGATTTTTTCATTTTTCTTAAGTGCAGGCCTAGGATTGGAATTTCTGAGTCATATGGCAATTTTAGGGTTATCTTTTTTAAAAACAAGCAAGTCTTTCTGCAGTGAATGCAACATTTTACATTCTTACCAGTAATTGGCAAGGGTTCCTATCTGTACATAATTGTTACTACTTGTAATTTTGTAATTTTTGTGTCACTGAAAGTGATTTTGACTTGCTTGTCCTTCATGACCAAAGATATTCAGCATCTTTTCACATGCTGTTTCTCATTTGCATATCTTCTTGGAACTAATGATGTTCAAGTCCTTTGCTCATTTTTTAAATTGAGTTTCATGTCTTCTTGTTGTTGAGCTGTAAGAATTGTTTATGTAATCTTGACATTAAACCCATGCACATTAAAGTGTTTAACCCATATTAAATAAATGATATGAAAATACTTCCTTCCATTTGGTAGGCTGTCATTTTATATTTGAATTATGTCCCGTGATGTGCAAATATTTTAATTTTGATGAAGTCCAGTGTATCTATTTTTTCTTTTGGTCATTTAGTATCAAATCTATGAATACATTGGCAAATCTGGAGGCTTTAAGATTTACCCCAATATTTTATTCTTGGACTTGCAGAGTTTTAGTTCCTATCCTTGAATTTTCATCTAATTTCAGAATTATTTTGACTATGGTATGAGAAATGGCGCCAACTTCTTTCCTTTGCATGTGATTATGCAGATGTCCCACCACTGTTTGTTGAAGAAACTCTTCCTTTACATTGAATGGACTTGCCGTGCTTGTTAGAAATGACTTGGCGATACGTATTAAGGTTTATATGTAGATGTCGATTTTACTTTTATGATTGTTCTTGGTGTCTTCCCTCATACTAGTACCATAGTGTTTTGATTATTATGGCTTTGATTGAAGTTTTGAAGTTGGGAAATTGAGTCCTCCCACTGTAGTTACATATGAATTGGGGATTGGCTATGCCATTTTTGCCAAAAAGGCCATTGTGATTTTGATAGAGATTACATTGAATATTCACATCATTTTGGAAAGCAATTGCCATCTTAATAATATGACGTCTTCCAATTCTTAAAAGTGGGGTCATTTTCCATTTATTTATTTTTTATTTTATTTCAGCATATTATGGGGGTACAGATGATTAGGTTACGTATGATGCCCTTACCCTCCCTCCCCCCCCAAGTACAAGCTTCAAGTGTGTCCATTCTCCCGGAGGTATGCATCGCACTCATTGTTTGTGCATATGCCCGTCCCCTCCTCCCCCCTCCCCC